CTTATAAAATGTATTTGCAATGAGTAAGTCATTGATTTTACAAAATTCAATCATTCTATCTCCAGCTTCATTCCTGTCACCAAGCCCATGTTTTCCAACTACTGATTCTTCTCTGTTCCCAACTTTTGCATTCCAGTATGTTGGACATACTCTTTGAAAAGTAAAAGAAAACTACTTTCATTGTTATACAATCCCTCCTCCCAAGTCCATTCCACTATTCAGCGTTCATTCTGGACTCCTGTCATGACAATAATACCTAACTGTATATTCCTTTTAAACAGTTCTCTTCCCTCATTTCAATGCAGTATACATTATTTCCCTTTTCTCTGTCTCCTCTCAACCCCCATGTCAGTCCCATTTTACAACAGTGGCCTATGCAGTATTTGTCCTTTCGTGACAGAGATAATTCACTCAGCATAATGTCCTCCAGGGTCACCCATTTTGAGAAAGGATGTAAAGAATTCCGTGTTCTTTTCTGTAGAGCAAAGCTTTTTTACCCTCTTTTGTGTACTGTAAAATCAGTGGAGCATCTGGTGAATTCAGACCGCATTCCTACAAGATTGCCACGCAGCTTCCTGCCACTAGGCCACCAGGTCTTCCTAGCAGAGCTGCGTTAAAAGTTGGAAGGACACAGTCACTCCACAGTAAGTCCAGCGGCCCATGCCCCCAGGTTGGACAGGGTGTCCTCCGCATGATCATACCCTGCTGGCCCAGAGTGCAGCTGGCTTGTCCCTGCCTCCCAGCAGGAGGTCAAGGAGACCAGGCAGCGGGGAGGGCCTGCAGGTGGAGACCCCCTGGATCCCTCCAGCAAGGAAGCAGACTTAGTGGGTTTGGATGTCTGGACCAGGGCCCACATAGGGGGTGGGGAGGCCAGGGAAGAGATGCAGTCCAGGCTCAGTGGTAGGGGCAGTTCGACATTGGATGCATGCCATCTCTGCAAGTTAGCTGCAAGAACTCCTGGAACAGGGTGATTCCCTCCTCCTCCCAGGCTGCAAGGCCCTAGTGACCTGTGCAGAGTCAGACGCTTGTGTGTGAGCTCCATGACAACGGCTTTCGAGACCCATGACCACAGCACAAAGCTCGGGGTTTGCAGGAACACCAAGGCAAAAATTTGTAAAGCATATCTCAGAATTTGGGTCTGAACTTGAATATCAAGTCTGATAAAACAATTTTTTAAGACATCAAAATGCCCGTGATACAGTTCTGGACACAGTGTACAAAGATTAAAGGTCCACAAATCCAAGGATAGACAGAAGAGGGGAAAAATTTTTTTCCTTGGCATTGAGATTATGCTACAGATGGTGGAATAATTTAGAAAAGGATAGCTAGAATGTATATGCATGAAGAATATGTCCTTGGATTACTACACTTGTAGAAATGTTGAACCGGTAAATGCTTTACTGTATATATTTTCACTGTAAAAAGGACAAACATTTAAAATCAAACAAAAGGAAAAGATTAAAAGTTTCAGCAGAGAAAGTGAAGTTATTAATATAGACAAAAATCACAAATTTTGAGATACTGTGCTATTGATGCTCCTTAAGCTTGAAAATAAATTGGTACAAATTAATCTTTCTAATTACTAGAACCACAGGTTAATTGAAACATTTGTCAGTAAAAAGAATTTTATTTATGTGGATTTATGGTGAGCTCTAACACCCCTCTCTCTGCCTCCACCACTGCCAGTTTTCAACCTGTGATCAATAAAATTGTTCTGTTACATTGTTTGAACTTGAGATATCAAAGCTTGCATGATGACAAATAGTAAAAACAAGAGGTCTGTTTTAATAACTTATTTTTAATGGTTTGGCTGTGGTTTTCTAGCAAGTCTGTGAAATCGAACCGTAATAATGTCTTAAAAAGTACTTTTGAGAGAGTGTTGTGAACTTCCATGTCCTGCTTTTTGAATGAGCAAGCTTATGGTGCCTGTTCTTTTGTAAACATTGACACAGCAGATCACAATGTTCTGTGACTTTACAGTGCCTTATTGTGTGCATGTGTGTATATGTATATATGTTTAATGTATTAGTCCTCCTTTCTACCCTGCATGTTCTGTTTCTGTTCACTCATTTCCTTACCCCTCCTTGCCTTTTCATCTTCACTGTTGTATAAATGTTGATTGTTGAAGGTAGCCCATTTCTTACAGGTCATGTTTCTTTTATAGGCCAATTTATTATTTGACTGATGGGTGACTTCTTCAGGATAGGTTAAAAGAGTATCTTAGGGTGATATTATGTGCTGTTGAGTCTCCTACAACACAGAGCAACCTTATTGTGTACCCATACCTGACCCTCTAGCTAGTTGTCATGGATAGTAAATTGCACAGGAAGACATTGTATACCTTTCCCCCGGCCCCACCTAGAGCAGCTGGTAGATTTGATCTGCATACTTTCATAGGAACATTAGGAACAACAAATCAAAACCTTAGACCATCCTGGTGATTTCCAGTAGTCTGAGTCTTAGTATCTGGTAAATATAGTCGTGTGTGTGTGTGTGTGTGTGTGTGTGTGTGTGCGCGCGCGCGCGCTCTCAGAATAGTCCAGTAGTGAAGGTCAGGCATCATCTAGTTTTCTCAGTCTCTTCTAGACTGGTTGACATGGACCTTAGTCCTATAGAAAAATTTCTTTTGGAGTATTTCTTCTGTTCTGGGTGAGAAGAGGCTAAGAGTTGTATCTTAGATGGCTTTTAAGATCTCAGATGCTACTCTCCAAACTAGACTGTAGAACATTGTCTTATGAAATTCATGAAATAAGTGAAGCCAATTGACCTTCTTGTCCCACATGACTGATACTGACCCTAGATTCTGTAACAATAAGTTATTGTTGTTAGGTGCTGTTGAGTACCACTCATAGCTACCCAGTGAATAACCAGTCTGTACCTTGTCCTGTCCTGTGCCATCCCTTATCATCTTTGACATAGATGAGCCAATCCACTGTTCCAGTCCATTTTATTGAGTTTTCCTTTCTCTTTCATCGATCCCTCTACCTTTCCAAAGTATGAAATACTATTAACAAGAGTAAAGTATTAAAGATAATTAGTATAGTTTTGTTTTCAAAGCAGTAACACTCAAAATACAAACAGTACACCTAATTTATGAAGAAAGTTCTTTTCCCAGTGGGGTAAGAGATGACCAGTCTTCATGTTTTGATAAATAGCTTTCCTAGACCTGTCTCTGCATATAGTGATTCTCATTGCCAAACTTTTCCCAAGTTTCTGCAAATCTGTATTCCTAGAAACAGATGAAAAGTAGCTCACTTTAATTTCCTTGGCCAGTATTAACTAATGAGTTTAAGTAGTTTGCAAATAAAAAATAGTTTTCTATTTTCCAGTTTTTAAAATTTGTGTGTGTGTGGGTATATACCTTTTTTGGGTGGAAATGTCAATATAGGTAAATAGTTCCCTTAAAACAAGTTGTTTTTTTTTTAAATATCCATAAGAACGTGCCACCATATGTAAAATACGTGGTCTTAATCGTTGGAAATTTTCTTAAAAGAGTAGATGATGATGATTAATCTTATTATGTTTTTAAAACAATAGATCCGAGTGGGATATACTTTTGAAGGATGTGCAATGTTCAATCATAAGTGTGACAAAAACTGACAAGCAGGAAGCTTATGTACTCAGGTAAGTTTTACTTAAATATTAGCCAGAATGATTCTGTCTGAATCATACATACTCCATGTAGAATATCAAATTATTGTTCCCTCATCTTGGTTTTAGAATTATTTTTGCCTTAGTAAAGCATACTAATTATATAAAATAAACTGGTTGCTTTAGGGTATCTATGGATAATAGGTTCTAAAATCTTAATCTAGTAACTCTTCAAGCTGGTAATTATATTTTCCCTCTAGTAGTCAAGGAGAAATATCCATAAAGACGGGAAAACCATTATAGATAGTATGTTTCAATATCTTTTTTTTTTTTTTAAACAGACACATGGTTTATCTGAAGCAAGAATGAAACTATACAATTAGTTTGGAAAAAATATTGCAGTTTGTTTGTTTTACATAAAGCCTTATACTTTATCCCAGAAGAAAACTAAGCACAATGACATTAACATGCCATCATCCTCCAGTCAGTACAGAAGGCAAAGAGCTGGTTCAGGGTGGAAAAGGACACTCGAGTAAGCAGTGAGGGAGCTCGGTTACGGCAGTAACCATTCTGTCAGCAGGACCACCGACAGCAGACCATTTGTAACAGAGCCCTACTAACACTGCGACATGTTGCCACGGCATGGATAGAAACCAAAAACTACAAGGCCCTTCATGATTGTGCCTTGGGTAGGTAACAAATGGGCCAAGAAAACCAATATGAATGGACTGAAAACTAGAAACATCTGGAAAGATGGTTTATGAAGAGCAGAAATTTTATAAAACAGCAACAAAAACCCAAATATCCTGAAAAATCAAAGAGGGCACAGATAATGGTTTTCCTGTCTTTTAAAAATAATGAAATTTTTCAATATTATCTTTAAATTCAGACATTTTTCTCTGGAACTCAAGAAACTTAAACTGATGATTGTATATATGATAACAGTTGCGGCCCCCACCCCCAAGAGATAGATTATACCCTCAGTGGTATGTAAACATTCTAAAACTGGTCTTTTTTTCAATTGCAGTGAGAGTAGCATGTTTGTCTCCAAGAGACGTTTCATTTTGAAGACATGTGGTACCACCCTCTTGCTGAAAGCACTGGTTCCCCTCTTGAAGCTTGCTAGGGATTACAGTGGGTTTGACTCAATTCAAGTAAGTAATTAGAAAAGCATTTGATCCTTCTCATTGGGCATCAGTATTGGAGCTCTTTCTGAAATACATCTAGTTAATAAATAGAACATTAAATTTGTAGGGCCTAAGAATATAAGATGGTAATGCCTCAGAATAGGTTCATGTTGGTGGTGGTCGTGAACTATTAGTAATTATAGCAATATGGTTTTCACTTGTAGTTCATTGATGGTTTTTAAAGTTTATAAATTATATACCTTTTCTCTAGAAAAATATATGCTGGAGTTCAAATTGGAATTCACAGCTCTAAGAATTCTTAATATATTAAAGAAAAATAAGTATTCTTTTGATATTTTCAGAACAATAAAATATTGTAATATGGTAAAAGTATATTAATCTTAAGATATGCTAGAATTGGCTCCAATATTTGTAGACAAAGGGAGGACATCGTTCAGTTACGTCTTAAATTATGGTTTTCTTTTTGTTTTTAAGAGCTTCTTTTATTCTCGTAAGAATTTCATGAAGCCTTCTCACCAAGGGTACCCACACCGGAATTTCCAGGAAGAAATAGAATTTCTTAATGCAATTTTCCCAAGTAAGTTTAAATCAGTTGAATTGAAGCCCCCCCCCCCCAAAGTGAGGAATCACTGCTGGTACTGTGACCTTGAAAACAGTGGAAATCTATTTTGTTAAGTCTGAATTTTTTTATTAGTAGCAGCCCTCCATCAGATTTCCTAGATGACAACTGCCTACCTATCTCCCTTAGATTTGAACTCTACCAGCTTTTTTGACTGACTCAATCTTCTTTAATCTCAGTTTTAATAAATTACCTTTTTAATAGTTTTAAAAATAGATGAAGAACAGTGAGTACTGTTTACTCAGGAGAGTAGATAAATGAGTAACCAAATACCGTGGGCTTAAGGGGAGGATAACTAGCAGTTTTCTTATCCCCAGGATCAATTGGTTTACAATGATAAAAATTTTTTTAAGGAGACTTTGGTTTGGTTTCCCCAAGAATACAAAGAATAAAAAGTTTTACAAAAGGTGTTAGATAGAGTGAAAGAAAGAGGCTGTTCCCAAGTAGTGAAGAGGCCTTCATTAGTAGACCAGGTAACTGCTTACAGAGGATTAGAGTGATGCACAGGCAGACAAAGACAGGGACGCTTAGAAAAGATGGTAGTTTGTTCTGAAATTTGGGGGCAGGAGTTCTATCAGTGTCTGATCAGGCTCAGGGCTTTTTCAGGAACTAGTTGTGTATAAATTTTCAGGTGGCTTTGTTTGGGGGAGGGAGGGGGGGGTGTGTGTGTGTGTGTGTGTGTGTGTGTGTGTGTGTGTGTGTGTGTGTGTGTGTGTCCGTCCGTCCCCCAGTGGTCAGGTGTAGGAGTAAGGCCTGGGAAAGGTGTGACATTCTTTCTTCATTCTAGACCTTAAAGAAAGGGAGCAGTGTAGGAGTTGTCTCTAGCTACTTCCTGCTGGCTGGGGACAATGCTGGGGTTAGTTCCCCTTAAGGTCTGAAGGAGCATTGTTTTCACATGTTCTTAGATGATGCTTCAGACGTGGTTTTGAAGAATTCTTTCCACCTGTGAATCCAGATTTTTTTAATTCAACTTTCTCTTTAACTAATGACATTGCTGTTAAGTAGCGTGATAACAAACCATCTTGTTAAATAGGTCTTGTTATATCTTTTCTTCCCTAAATAGATGGAGCTGCATACTGTATGGGACGTATGAATTCTGACTGCTGGTATGTTTGGCATACCTTTATGGAATTTTTTTGGGTGGATAGTTTCATATAAGATTTATTTAAAGCTACCAGTTGTTAAAATAGTTATAGAAACTATTTTACTCTTGTATAGGTACTTGTATACTCTGGATTTTCCAGAGAGTCGGGTTATCAGTCAGCCAGATCAAACCCTGGAAATTCTGATGAGTGAGCTTGACCCAGCAGTTATGGACCAGTTCTACATGAAAGATGGTGTTACTGCAAAGGATGTCACTCGTGTAAGTGCTTTAAAAATTGTATATTGTGTTGTGGGTGACTTTTAAGATTTTTTGTTTGGACACAAATCCATTTTCAAATTTTTGCTTTTAATTCGTTCTTTACCTCTTCTAGGAGAGTGGAATTCGTGACCTGATACCAGGTTCTGTCATTGATGCCACACTGTTCAATCCTTGCGGGTATTCAATGAATGGAATGAAATCAGATGTAAGTAATCATACCTTGCCTCAATAGTTATTTAGGTATTTAAATGTTTTTTTCCATTATTAACACAAGTCTCTTTCTTTAAGGGAACTTATTGGACTATTCACATCACTCCAGAACCAGAATTTTCTTATGTTAGCTTTGAAACAAACTTAAGTCAGACCTCCTATGATGACCTGATAAGGAAAGTTGTGGAAGTCTTCAAACCAAGAAAATTTGTGACCACCCTGTTTGTAAATCAGGTAATTTGCTTTATTGTTGGCAGTAAAATCTTATAGGAAGCAAGAATAATGAAACTGATCCTCAGATAATGCTAGGTAATAGACCTGTTTATAAGATCAGTTAACCAGAGGTACTACTAGTTGAGGAAACTACTAGATGTTTGTGTGTATCCATAGAATGGTACTAATTCTTGTTTTATAGTTAGCCCTCAAGTGTTGGGTTGTGTGGTTTTTCCCCCCCTTTCGACAGAATAGGCTTAGTAAGGGGCTAGAAGACACTACACAACTATCCAGCTCACTAGAGTGGAAATCAGTTACAAAGTAGAGCACACGATTCCATTTCCATTTGAATGATGTGCCAAGTGTTTGAGATGTTTTAATGATAATTTACTACTGATGGGAATACAAAATGATGTGAACGCTGTAGAAGATGGTGAGATGGTTCCTCAAAAAATTAAATGTAGGCGAGCTCTGGTGGCCTTGTGGCAGGAAGCTACACTGCAATCCCGGAGGTGTGCGGTTCAAATCCACCAGATGCTTTGCTGGAGAAGGAGGAACAATCTCCTGTACCAGTCAAATCTGATTTGATGGTACACACACACAGAGACAAGATAATAAAAATTTAAAAAAAAATTAAATGTAACTTTATCATATGAGTGGAATCACAGTTCCACTTTAAAAGCTGGGAGAGTGTGTACTGTGAAGTCTTTCAGAACTATGATATATGAGGATCAAAAGGGTCAAAGTGCAAAATAGAATTTTCATGGGCTCTCTGAATTTGTTGTCCTTGTTTGGTGTCATCAAGTTGGACTCGACCCATAGCTAATCCTCCAGCAGGTTTTCAGAGGCTGTAAATTGCACAGGATGAGATTGCCATCCTCCTGCAGAGCAGACAGTGGATTTGAACCATGTGTCTTTGGGATGTAGTGCAGCTTCTCAGCACCAGGCCATCCAGAGATCCTGAATTCATTGTAGTCATCTATAAACCAAACAGTAGTTTATCCTAGTAAAAAGTTTTTTTAAAATAAAATCTGTAACTCAAATGCTTGAATACAAAATTTGGAGAAAAATTAATATTAATGGGAGAATGAACAACCCGGACGAGGATGAGGATTGCACATTTAAAATGTAATCGGTGTCACAGATGGTGGTGCATGGAGAAGAAATTTGAATTGGTGTGGGTTTTGCTATCTCGACAACAAAAGTAATTTAAAAAAAAACAAGTAGATGCTATAAATCTATTGCATGACTATTTTAAGAATTTTCTTCCTTCCCCCCCCCAGAGTTCTAAATGTCGCACAGTGCTTTCTTCGCCCCAGAAGATTGAAGGTTTTAAACGTCTTGATT